AGCAACACCGAGGGTTGCGATCCGTTGCCGGACACAGAAAAAGACAAAAAAAAAAAAAAAAGTGCTTTTCCTTGTGTACTGTACGTCTCACTGGTAATCATAAAGCTTAATTAGAACTTGTCATATATTGAATTGTGCTGTTCTCCAAAGTTATTAACTCTTTAAGGTTTCACAGGGCAGGGGAGGAGGAGGGACGGTTACTTCATGGTTTAGAACTGTGGCTTCAGAGCAAGAGCTAGTATCTGCTGTGACAGCTGCGTGACCTGGAAAGGTAGTGCCTTCACCTCTCAGTTTCCTCATCTGTATAATGGGATAATCGTTCCTACCTCACAGGGTTGTAGTCAGGATTCACGGAGACCATATGCATCCACGTATGAAACGTGTCTAGCCTGGAGTCAGTGCTCAGAAATGTAATGCATCCTCTTCCCTCCCCTGTCTCCCCTTCTAGAACCATTCAAACCTGAAGCCAACGGTGGGGGGGAGCCTTGCCAGGAAGGAGGCTGCTGGGGGTAGGAGGGAGACTTTTGAGTCTCAGTTGTCAGAACCCGACTGTGTGTGGTGAGGAGGGTGTCCCTGTCTAGGGCAGGTTTCAGAAATCAGTGGCAGTGTGGGGGCTGTCCCCCTGGAGGGTCAGGAGGATGTCCATGCTGGGGGAGGGGGTGTGCAGTGAATGTGGGAGATGGTTCCATGCAGGGGCACTGATCACATTAGTAAATATAATAAGGGTCATGGGGGCCGGGTGTCTCCCTGTTGGAGAAAAGAGCTACAAATATGGAAAAGGAGAGAACTAGAGGAACCCACTACGGACATGGAATGGAATTAGAGGTATTGGTGTGAGCTCTGGGGTGCGTGTACGTGTGTATTTCAATAAATATAGATGTGAATGTATCTCTGTAAATATGTTGTATGTGTAAACGTGTGGGTGTATATGTAATATGTTCATAATCCCCTATCTCATTGCACCAGGAGAGAGGGCCTGGGGACAGTGACTCGCCAGTGGCACCCACTCTCGGCTTCTAAATTCTATTGTCCATGAACAGAAGCAGGGCTCCTGGAGAAATGTCTGATTCCAGGGTTGGGCAGTCTGTGCCAGAAAACAAGAAAGTGCTCGAAGAATGATGAGGCTGTGTCAAAACGACACGGAAGCCAGTTTACATGGGGCTCCCACTTGGCCAAGTTAGGGACAGTGTGAGCGTCAAAATCTATAATGACAGTAATAGATTATAACCCTATGGGTAAAACGGGAAACCATGAGTCCGTACAGGTGCACATTAGCAGACGGATAAATTGAAAGTTTAAAGAGGAATGGGACATTTATATAGTTCCAAGGTATCTCCCCATGTTTATCTCAGAATGCAGGGTGGTTTTTACGTTTGAAAACCAGTGTAATCTGCCAAATTAACAAAGTGTTCCCTATAAGGTCAGGAACAAGGAAGGATGTCGGCTCTCCGCACTTGCGTTCAACACTGTGCTGAGGGTTCTAGGAAAGAAAAGAAGAGGCAGCCAGACTGGAAAGGAAGTTAACTGCCTTTATTCTCAGGTGACACGATCATCCTTATGAAAAAGCCTGTGGATTCTGCAAACAAGCTACCCTAATAAGGGGGCTTAGCAACATTGCAGAATATGAGATCAATATACAAAGACTGTGTTTCTATGTACAAACCATTCACAACAGCATCAAAAAGTGCAAAATATGAAAGGGTAAATCTGACAAAAGATGTGCAATACCTGTGCATGCAGCTGAGCGAAGGCAGGAAGTCCTAAGTAAGTGGCGCTGACCTGCTGTGATTGTTTTTTCTCATTCTCCATAAACAGCCACTCTCCTGTCTTAAAAAAGGCACCTCCCGGGCCGGCCCGGTGGCGCACTGGATAAGTGCACCGCTTGGGAAGCGCAGCGGCGCTCCCGCCCGAGGGTTCGGATCCCACATACAGACCGGTTCCCGCTCACTGGCTGAGCGAGGCGCGGGAGCGACACCGAGGGTTGCGATCCCGTTGCCGGTCCCCGGTCCGGTGCAGGGGCGACACTGAGGGTTGCGATCCATTGCCGGACACGGAAAAAGACAAAAAAAAAAAAAAAAAAAAAAAA